TTTGACATTCAAAGCACTGGGCAGAAATCACATTGTGTCAATACTATCTCATAGCTAATCACAATGCTATGTTTTAATTAAACAGTCGGATTCCCCTTGTCCGTTTCAGTTCTGAGTTGACACATAAAAAAAAAAAAAAGTGAGGCATAAAAAAAAAAAAAAAACCATAATACAAGTATTAAAAAGTGTTCTTTTTTTTTATATACCTGAACCACTTTTTTTAAGTGAGTAGATGAAAATAATAAAAAATATATTAAACACACAACAAAAATAAATATAAAAAAAAAAAAGTTGCCTTTTATTTTTTATATATTTTTTTTTGCTACATATTTAATTGTTCTTATTACACATCTTAACTCTAGTGTCCTCAGAGCCAATCCTTTTCCCAAAGTTACGGATCTATTTTGCCGACTTCCCTTACTTACTTTTTTCTACTTAACCAGAGGCTACTAACCTTGGAGACCTGATGCGGTTGTCGGTACGCTCAAATGTTATATAGTAAAAATTTTTAAAAAGTTCCCTCCTTGTTTCAAGGATAGTTCTTACAGATTCGAATAGTTCAATATATAAATAAACTACTATTGTTACAGTTTGCTAGAAAAAATAAATAAAAACTTATTTATAAAATCTTTACAAACCGATTCTACAAACCTTTTCTCCAAATAATTTGATTCCAAGGTCTGTTATAAAAATTAAAGTGCAAAGAAAACGCACCTCGAATGTAAGACCTATGTAAAGGAGTTCATTTTTTTTAATATGTTACCATCTTTTTTTTTTATGTCTCTTTACTATAACTGGCACAGAAATATTAATCTGTTTCCCTTTTGAGATGAGGATATAATATATTTTTATAATATATTACAATTAATTTAATTTTTACCGAAATAAAAATTAAAATAAAAGAATATATATATATATATATGCCTCATTTTGTATCACTTTTCAGTTATCTCTTAGGAACGGCTAACTCTTGTACAATCACAGTTGACAAGAAACCCTTCTCCACTTCAGTCTTCAAAGTTCTCATTTGAATAATTGCTACTTCCACCAAGATCTGCACTAGAGAAATTGTTTCACGATAACTCACGTATATAAACGCTTCAACACAAACTCCACGATTTTCTACTCATAAAAAATTATTAAATAATATATTTTTTTTTTATGGCTTGGTATCGGTAATCCGCTGTAGCGCCATCCATTTTCAGGGCTAGTTCATTCGGTAGGTGAGTTGTTACACACTCCTTAGCGGATTTCGACTTCCATGACCACCGTCCTACTGTCATAATGAACCAACACCTTTTCATGGGATCTCATAAGCGAATAATTTAGGCACCTTATCCAAAGCGTTAGGAGCATCCCTCATCGCCAGTTCTGCTTACCAAAAATGGCCCACTTGGAGTTCAATATTTAATTGAGTATTATACAAATAATTTTATAAGTTATAAAATACTCTTATTACCAATTGGGAGTTTGAGAATAGGTCAAGAATAACAATATTCCTGATTCCTCTAATCATTATCTCTACTTGGTAAAACTAATATAAAAACTCCAGCGATCCTGAGAGATCTTTCGAAAATAACCAGCTAATAGGCTTTTCGATTAGTCTTTCGCCCCTAAACGTGATTGAAATGAACGATTTGTACGTCAGTATCAATTCGATCCTCCATCAGACTTTCGTCTGACTTCAATCTCATCACGCTTAGTTCAAAGCCTCTCGGGTCCTAACAAATATACTCTTACGCAGTCCTAACATAATGATTAAGGAGGACCGGTATTGCATGCATAAATCGTTGTTTTTAAGGCAACGTTCTAATTCTGCAAAAAATTACATTAATTACGCGTATAAAAAAAATATATGTTTAGTTGTTAATCACATACGCTTGCACATTTGTTAGACTCCTTGGTCCGTGTTTCAAGACGAGTGAGATAAGAAAGTACTATTATAGAAACAACTTAAAAAAAGTAACAAAAAAAAAAAACAAAAAAATGTTAATTTTGTTTTACTTTTTTTTTAATACATCCTCAGCAAATGAATATAATTATTTTTTTGTTGTGTTAATAAAAACCGGATGTCTAATCGTTAGTGAAAACACACCTATAAAAAAAAAAAAAAACTAATATATAATAGCCCTTTTTTTTTTTATGTCAGTTTTTATGTTAATTATATTAGTTCGCTGATGTTTCTTTTTAAAAATAAGACATCAAAAAAAAAATAAAAAAAAAAAAAAAAAAATAGTATTACCTATTTTTTTTTTTATTTTTTATATTTTTAATGCTTCTTATTTTCTTTTTTCCTCTCTTATTTCGTTCCATCTTAACGATTTCAGGTACTATTTAATTCTCATTCCTGAGTACTATTTCATCTTTCCCTCACGGTACTTGTTTGCTATCGGTCTCTTACATATATTTAGCTTTATGTGAAATGTATCACACGAAATATTTGTACTCCAATCTCAAAGAGCACGACTCTTTCAACAATATCTTTTTAGAGCATCATTACGCACAAAGAGTTGCATTTACGGGACTTTCACCCTCTATGGAAAAGCATTCCTGCTCACTTCTACGCAACATATTGTACAGGCAACAAAAAGAATATTGTTTAAAATACCAGACATTTCCTAACAAAAATAATGCTAGGATTAAACTGATGAGCTTTAATCCTTGTTCACTCGCCGTTACTAAAGGAATCATTGTTATTTTCTTTTCTTCCGCTTAATTATATGCTTAAATTCGGCGGATCCGCTCTCCTAACATATTATTTTTTTTTCGAACACTCAACTCTTTTTATATAATGAGTTACTTTTTTATGGAAAAAAAGCACACACAAAATTATATAAAAATATTATATACATATATATCTACTTAAAAAATATTTTTTTAGATAGATTATATATATATATATAATCCCTAAAATTTGTTGGAAATATAGTATAAAATATAGATAAATTATATATTAGTGTAAAAAAAAGACAAAAAAAAGTCTTTTTTTTTTAAAAACTATAAAAATATTAATTCATCACAAATCTTTTTATCTTTTTTTTTAATTAAAAAAAAAAAAAAAAAAAAAAAAAAGATATGGACATGAAAAAACCACTAGTATATTATATATCTATATACCGTTTTTTTCTATATATATACAAAAATCGCTTTGTTTATAAAAAAAAACACACACTATTTTTCCACAAAAAATATAGGGCTCTGTTCGAGAATACTCATGCTATGAAGGAGTACCAAATAATTGTAGAACAATTTGGTGTAGTTTACATTCAGCATTCTGATGATTCAAAGTAACTGCAATTTTCATTGCTTATCGCATTTTGCTGCGGCCTTCATCGCTGTAAGAACCAAGACATCCATCGTTAAGACTATGTTAAAAAACCACTAATGACGATAACGTAACATTTTTGCAAATGTTTTGTTATGGTTCATATAGTTGGTGTGGGTTTTTACTTTTCAACCCAAAAAAGAGTTAGTCACTATATAAGGACCACTCTCAAAAACAGTGTTAAACTATAAATAGTGGTTAACACTACAACAGTTTAATACCACAAAATAAGAGTTTTAGTTTATTAATGATCCTTCCGCAGGTTCACCTACGGAAACCTTGTTACGACTTCTCCTTCCTTTAAAAGATAGGATTTACAGTTTTTCCAAAAAAAAAAAAACAAAAGAAAAATCTTCTGTTTCTTCTTGTCTAAACAATTCATCATATCTTTCAATCGGTAGGAGCGACGGGCGGTGTGTACAAAGGGCAGGGACGTAGTCAGCACAATCTGATGAATCATGCTTACTAGGCATTCCTCGTTCAAGATTAATAATTGCAATAATCTATCCCCATCACGATATGTATTCAATCAAAGATTACCCAACACTTTTCAGTGAAGGATCTTACAGTGGCACATATAAATATGACCTCTGTAAAATGTAAAACTCGTTACACATATCAGTGTAGCACGCGTGCAGCCTAGCATATCTAAGGACATCACAGACCTGTTGTTGCCTTAAACTTCCTTGTGTTAAACACACATCGTTCCTCTAAGAAGCTTTCAAATTTTAAATAAATACATTCTTAATAAAAACAAAATAAAAAAAAAAAAAAAAAAAAAAATACTGTAAAAGAAATATACATTTTTTTAATAAAAAATGCAAAATCTAAACAAATTCTTTTTTTTTTTTTTTTTATTATCTTATTTTTAAATTAAGAATATCTTGTATTTATCGCTAATTAGCAAGGTAAGGTCTCGTTCGTTATCGGAATTAACCAGACAAATCAAATTTCACGAACTAAAAACGGCCATGCATCACCATCCAAGAAATCAAGAAAGAACTAA